TTTGTCTAGATTAACTTTGATGTTTGTTGGTTTGTAAAAAATTGTAGCTGTGTAAAGGATATCTTGTAAATACTTTTAGATGAATCTGAAGAATCACTGTCATATTTTTGAGATCGTTTATAAGATCTAGTTACCGATTTATATCAAGTTTTATTGGTAGGAATAGCAGATGATTGTGAACGAGTGTTGGTAGGAATAGCAGGAGAAGATGATGATTGTAAACGGGTTGTATTGGTAGAAATATCAGAAGAAGATAGGTTGGAAGGTTTAGCAGTAGGTAAATTATTGTCAGAAGGTGGTAAGTTGGAAGTGTTATCGGTAGGTAAATTATTGTCAGAAGGTGGTACGTTATTATTAGTATCGTTGTTATCTATTTCAAAAATTTTTCAAAAATGTCTTTACCTTTCAAATGCGAAGTAGTTATATTTATAAAATCTAATCAACTCCAACATCCAACTAATAAACAAACATAGCAAAATAACAATTAGCTCAATTACAAACACAGACCTTATAGACAACAATATCAATATCACAATAAACAAACTTAGAACAATACAAAAAATGATCTATTATATAAAAAGAATTGAAATAATATCGCTTATACACAGACAATAAATCAATATATAAAAAACAAAAATGAGAACTTTGCAACCAACATATCCAAAATAATCAACAGCATACTTAAAAGATATATTGATCCAGTAGTTCAATATTCAGATACCTATCCAAGTCATTACAGAACCTCTCCAGATCAGAAACTATATATGAGACCACTATAAAATATGACCAAGCTAAACCCTACAGATAACAACTAATGAAATATATAGCAACAGGAATATAACCCAATACCTAAGATACAAGCTTCCTGGTACAAAGATCTTGACAGTACAATTACTATAGATGAGCTGCATATAGCTATAAAAGAAGTACCCAACAACAAAGCAACAAGCACACAAAATATATTAAATAAAATGCTAAAACACCTCGACTCCGCAGCACTATCACTACTACTAAATATTTTTAATGCTTGTTTAAAACTACAACAAGTATCAGTACTATAAAAACATAGCAGAATTTATCTAATCTCTAAAAAACAAATATTTATTAGACACCTAGAACATACTAGACCCATCATTCTTATAGAATATTCTAAAAAGATATTTACAAAAATAATTACAAATAAATTTAATAAAATATTGTCTTGATATCTAATCCTAAACAGAAGCAATCGCATTGTACTTTCTTACACATCTACAATACTACTCATCACTACTCTAATACATATAATCGAAGAGGCCAACATATACTCCAAGAAATTATAGATCCTATCACAAAATATGGTCAAGGTATATGACTCAGTTCATATACCACTACTTAAGAAAGCTTTGCTTAGAATTAAATTACCAAACTATATCATAAACCTTATTATAAATATATTTACTAGCAGATGCAATACTATAATAACTAATCATGGCATCACCAAACCATATCCTGTTCATAATAGAATAGATCAAAGGGAGACAATAACACTCCTGCTCTGGCAGATATATTATGACTCTCTACTAACCAGAATCACAAGAGAACATACAGGGTATACTATATAAACAACTACCAATACTCACAGAATAGAAGCTAGCCATGCTATACTAACCTATATGGATAATACAACATGGATAGTACTATCAAAAAAGTATTTACAAGATATCCTTTACACAGCTACAATTTTTTACAAACCAACAAACATCAAAGTTAATCTAGACAAA